AGTATTTCTGTGACAGGAAAACGGTAGTGTCATCAGAAATGTGCTAATAACCATTTGAAGGAGGCAGTGTAGGGTATGGATGGATTAAAATAACAATCCATACTGTGAAACCATTATGTTCATGTCCATATTTTAAAAAAGTTTTTTTAATTTACATCCAAATTAGCATATAGTGCAACAGTTATTTCAGGAGTAGATTCCTTAATGCTCCTTACCTATTTAGCCCATCCCCCCTCCCACAACCCCTCCAGTAACCCTCTGTTTGTTCTCCATACTTAAGAGTCTTTTATGTTTTGTCCCCCTCCCTGTTTTTATATTATTTTTTCTTCCCTTGTGTTCATCTGTTCTGTGTCTTAACGTCCTCATATGAGTGAAGTCATATATTTGTCTTTTTCTAATTTCGCTTAGCATAATACCCTTTAGTTCCATCTATGTAGTAGCAGATGGCAAGATTTCATTCCTTTGATTGCCGAGTGATACTCCATTGTATATATATACCACATCTTCTTTATCCATTCATCCATCGATGGACATTTGGGCTCTTTCCATACTTTGGATATCGTTGATAGTGCTGCTATAAACATTGGGGTGCATGTGTCTCTTTGAAACAGCATACATGTGTCCTTTGAATAAATACCTAGTAGTGCAATTGCTGGGTCATATGGTGGTTCTATTTTTAATTTTTTGAGGAACTCCATACCGTTTTCCATAGTGGCTGCACCAGTTTGCATTCCCACCAGCAGTACAAAAGAGATCTGCTCTGTCCGCATCTTTGCCAACATCTGTTGTTTCCTGGATTGTTAATGTTAGCCATTCTGACAGGTGTGAGGTGGTATCTCGTTGTGGTTTTGATTTGTATTTCCCTGATGAGTGATGTTGAGCATTTTTTCATGTGTCAGTTGGCCATCTGGATGTCTTCGCTGGAGAAGTGTCTGTTCATGTCTTTTGCCCATTTCTTCCCTGGATTTTTTGTTTTTTGGGTGTTTGATACATTCCTTATAGATTTTGGATACTAACCCTTTATCTGATATGTCATTTGCAAATATCTTTTCTCATTCTGTCGGTTGCCTTTTAGTTTTGTTGATTGTTTCCTTCGCTGTGCAGAAGCTTTTTATTTTGATGAGGTCCCAATAGTTCATTTTTGCTTTTGTTTCCCTTGCCTCCAGAGATGTGTTGAGTAAGAAGTTGCTGCGGCCAAGATCCAAGAGGTTTTTGCCTGCTTTCTCCTCGAGGATTTTGATGGCTTCCTGTCCTCCATTTAGGTCTTTCATCCATTTTGAGTTTATTTTTTCTGTATGGTGTAAGAAAGTGGTTCAGTTTCATTCTTCTGCATGTTGCTGTCCAGTTTTCCCAGCACCACTTGCTGAAGAGACTGTCTTTATTCCATTGGATATTCTTTCCTGCTTTGTCAAAGATGAGTTGCCCATATGTTTGTGAGTCCATTTTTGGATTCTCTATTCAGTTCCATTAATCTGAGTGTCTGTTTTTGTGCCAGTACCATACTATCTTGATGATTACAGCTTGAAGTCCAGGATTGTGATGACTCCTGCTTTGGTTTTCTTTCTCAAGATTGCTTTGGCTATTCGGGGTCTTTTCTGGTTCCATACACATTTTAGGATTGTTTGTTCTAGCTCTGTGAAGAATGCTGGTGTTATTTTGATAGGGATTGCATTGAATATGTAGATTGTTTTGGGTAGTTTTGTCATGTCCATATTTTTGTACTAATTTGGTTACTTTTCCTTTCTGATCAAGTGTGTGTGATAAACAACCCCCGCTGTCACTACCTTACATCATCATCCTTACCCACGGGGGAATGCAGTGAGAACTTTCCAACAGATCTTCCCCCTCTCCTCCCCTTTCCATAGCCTAACTCCCATGCAGCACCCAGAGTAATCTTTTTGCAACATGAATCAGATGACATCAATACTTTACTTAAAACCCTGCCATAAATACCCATTTCACAGCGGGGATTTGCTTGTCTGTATTCTTGATGCTCTAAATTTGGGGCCTTGCTCATGGCAGGCAGGCGGCCTCCTCCCAGGATAACCAGTCCTTAGAAGTAGGAAACTTCTGGTGTGGACTTGCCTTTCATATGCAAATTAGACAATACAAAGACACTAAGGGGAACCACCTCCTCCTTCTGGCTCTTTCACTTCAGGAAACAGTATTCTGTGGGGATCATCCCAGATCCTGGGACCAGACAAATCAGGACAGCCCTCCTGCTCTAAAGCCTGGTAATAGTATTCAAACTAGCCAATCCTAAGCTGTCTCCCCTGCCCTGCCTTGCCTTTCCTTTGTGTAAAATACAAAAGCTCGGAACCACATTTTGTCCTCCACTTCTGCCTCCTGACCCATCCTGGTCTCCAGGAGACCCTGAATCATGTGCCCTGCATCCTGAGCCTATGGATCTGTAGGAATAAACTTCCTTCATGATAATCATTTTCAGGTCTGTGTATGCTACTGCACGAGATCAACCAGTCCCTGGGTACATTCTAGAGCACGCAGGAAGTGTATTCCAACCTCCCGTGTAGTCCAAGGCACCCCAGTGTCTCCATTTCTCTCTCTGGCTCCTCTCCTCTCACTCGAACCCCTGCAGGTGCAGCTCTGGCCACATTCTTGCCCCTCTTCAGGCTCTCAGGGCTCTCCCCCTTCAATTTCCTTGTCGTAGGTGTTCTCTGTGTGACACCCTGTTTCTTCAGATAAGGACTCCTTCCCTCCTCAGAGTCTGTGCTTAGATAATAAATGTCTCATTAGACTTGTCCCAACCATGTTACTTAGTGCTGCAAAACTGCTTTCATTCTACTCTCCCACGATTTCTCATCTGCTCTACACTTTCCTGTTTCCACAGCACTCCCCCCGTCCAACCTATATTGTTTAGGTTTTTCATTGTTCTTGTTTTTAAACTATTAGTTGTTATGATGAAAGATCCTCTAGAACAGGAATGCATTATTTTTTGGTATATATGTGTCCCCATTGTGTAGGGCAGTGCCTGTCCAAAAAATGGGCACTCAATAAATATTGATCAAATATATGTCTATATATATATTTTTTTCAAATCGTTATGAGGGACAAGAGAGAAGAGTGATGTTGGGGTGGAGGACTAATTTAAATTTGAGAAATATGGAGAAACCTCTGTGAGGAGGTAATGGTTGACATGAACTGAGTCTCATCACCCTGGACCATCTGTCTACAATCCAGGTGTGAGTGACTCAACACTATATCCTTCACAGCATTTTGCAAAGTGCCTTCTCTCAGCTTCTCTTGGAAGTATCTGTAGAGCAAATGTTGAGTGGATTTTACCATTAGGCTACTAAATGCTCCTGGTCCCTTGGCACCATTGTTAGGACTATTGGTTGTTGATCTACTCGTTCCCTTTCTATGCTCCCAGGAACTAGCCTGTGACTCACAGGGAACTGTAGTCCCTGGGTAAGAGTCATTGTTTGAGAGTAAGATATGTTTGTGCTCCTGGGGCACCTAGCTGGCTCAGTCAGTTAAGCATCCAGCTTCAGCTCAGGTCATGATCTCGCAGTTTGTGAGTTCAAGCCCCACATTGGGCTCTGCCGACAGCTCAGAGACTGGAGCCTGCTTTGGATTCTGTGTCTCCCTCTCTCTCTGTCCCTCTCTCAAAAATAAATAAACATTGGGGGAAAAAAAGATATGTTTGTGCTCCTGGTTTCAAGAGAACAGGAGAGATTCTACAAGGAATGGAAGGAAGAGCTGACTGGAGTGGACACCTGTTAGAGGACTATTCCCCCTAAAATGACAGGGGACGAACACGAAGCAGATTACAGAATTCCAGGGTCATGGCACATAACACATTCCTGGACAGGAAAAATCTGGGAGTTGGTGAGTTTTCCCACCGACAGAGAGCTACAGAGACCACTCACGGGGTTCAAGGACAGAGTTCCAGAACTGCTTTCAGCAAAGT